TAGGGCAGAGAAACAAGCCCAATCTGAACAGCAATTGGAGAAAAAAATTATCAGGAGGAGAGCCTAAGGGAGCTTTGGGACAACATGAAATGAAGTAACATATGTATAATAGGGGTGCCAGAAGGACAAGAAGAGCAGTAAGGATTAGAGAACCAATTTGAAGAAAAATAACAGAAAACTTCCCTGATACGGGAAAGAAAAAGTCACACAAGTACAAAGAGTCCCAAACAAGATGAACCCCAAAAGACCCACACCAAGACACATCATAATTACAATGGCAAACGTTAACGACAAAGAGAGAATCTTAAAGGCTGCAAGAGTGAAACACAGAGTTACCTACAAGCATCTCCTATTAGATTATCAAATGATTTCTCAACAGAAACACACCAGGCCAGAAGGGAATAGAATGAAGTATATAAAGTGATGCAAAGCAAGGGACTGAATCCAAGAATACTCTATCCAGCAAGGCTATCATTCAAAATTGAATGGGAAATCAGGAGCTTTGCAGACAAAAAAAAGGCTAAGGGAGTTTATCACTACCAAGCCAGCAATGCAAGAAATGCTAAAGGAACTGTTGTAAAAAGAATAGAAAGGGAAGAAGGAAGACAGGCATAAAGAAGAAAAATGGCTACAAACAAGTACTTATCAATAATAACCTTAAACATAAATGGACTAAATGCTACAATCAAAAGACATAGAGTGGCTGAATGGATAAGAAAACATGACACATATATATGCTGTCTATATGAGACCCACCTCAGAACAAGGGACCCACACAGACTGAAAGTGAAGGGATGAAAAAATATTTTTCAGGCAAATGGAAATGGAAAAAAAGCTTGGATAGCAGTACTTATATCTGACAAAATACACCTAAAAGTGAAGGCCATAACAAGAGACAAGGAAGGCCACTTCATAATACTAAAGGGATCGATACAACAAGAGGATATAACTCTGGTAAACATAGATGCACCCGATGCAGGAGCACCCAAATACAGAAGACAACTTCTGGAATATATCAAGAGGGAGATTGACAGCAATACAATCATACATAGTAGGGGACTTTAATATTCCATTGACTTCACTGGATAAATCCTCTAGACAAAAAATCAGCAAAGAAACAGCAATCCTAAATGACTCACTAGATCATATGAACTTAATTGACATCTTCAGAACATTCCACCCCAAAGCTACAGAATATACATCCTTTTCAAGTGCACATGGGACATTTTCAAAGATAGACCACATATTGGAACACAGGCAGAGTCTTCAAGTTCAAGAAGATTGAAAGCATATCAAGCATCTTCTCAGATCACAATGGCATAATATTAGAAATAAACTACAATAAAAACAATCACAAAAATTCAAACACTTGGAGGCTAAATAGCATGTTATCAAACAATGATTAGGTTACCAAATAGATCAAAGAAAAAATAAAAAATATCCTGGAAACAAATGACAATGTAAACACAACAATCCAAAATCTATGGGACACAGTGAAAGCAGTTCTGAGAGGGAAGTTCATAGCATTATAGGCCTATCTCAAAAAACAAGAAAAACTGGTAATAAATTATCTAACTCTACAACTTAAAGATTTAGAAAGAGAGCAACAAGAAATGCCCAGAGTGAGCAGAAGGAAGGAAATAATAAAGATCAGAGTGGAAATAAATGACATAGAGACCAAAAAAAAAAAAAAGAAACAAACAAACAAAAAAAACCACAACATACACAATACAAAAGATCAATGAAACCAAGAGCTGGTTCTTTGAAAGGCTAAACAAGATTGATGAACCTCTAGCCAGGCTCACCAAGAAGCAAAGAGAGGGGACCCAAATAAACAAAATCAGAAATGAAAGAGGTGAAATAACAACAGACCCCACAGAAATACAAAGAATTGGAAAAAAAATACTGTGAGCAACTCTATTCCAACAAACAGGTCAACCTAGAAGAAATGGACATATTTCTAGAAAAATATGACGTTCCAAAACTCAATCAGTAAGAATAAAAAAATCTAAATAGGCTGATAACTATGGAGGAAATTGAAGCAGTCATCAAAAAACTTTCAGCAAAGTGCCTTTCGATAGAGGATTGGGTAAAGAAGATGTGGTACATATATACAATGGAATACTACTCAGCTATAAGAAAGGATAAAATCCTGCCATTTGTGACAACATGAATAGACCTTGAGAATATTATGCTAAGTGAAATAAGCCAGTCAGAAAAAGCTAAGAATCATATGATTTCGTTCATATGTGGGATATAAAACTGAAACTCATAGATATAGACAACAGTATGATGGTTACCAGAGGGAAGCGGGTGGAGGGGAGTAAAGGGTAAAGAGGGCCAAATATATGGTGACAGAAGATGATTTGACTTTGGGTAATGGGAACACAATGCAGTATACAGATTGTGTATCATAGAAATGTACACTTGAAACCTATCCTATATAATAAAGAGGGAATATGCTAATTGATCATCACACCCTCACAAGATGGCAGCACCCACAGCCACAAGATGGCAGTGCCCAGTCCCCTCAGCCCCTCTGGCAGTGAATTTTCATGCAACCATTACCTTTTTATTTTATTTTTTATTTTTTATTTTTTATTTTTTTTAATATATTTTATTGATTCCTTACAGAGAGGAAAGGAGAGAGACAGAGAGCTAGAAACATCGGTGAGAGAGAAACATCAATCAGCTGCCTCCTGCACATCCCCCACTGGGGAAGTGCCCACAACCCAGGTACATGCCCTTGACCGGAATCGAACCTGGGACCTTTCAGTCTGCAGGCCAACGCTCCATCCACTGAGCCAAACCGGTTTCGGCAACCATTACCTTTTTAAAAAATCCTTACCCAAGGATATGATTATTTCTTTTAGATCATCTGTTCTTGGGGAGCAGGCATAAGCCAGAAGGTGGGCATCCCCCAAGGGTCCAGACTGTGAGAGGGCACAGGCTGGGCTGAGGGACCCCCGTGTGCATGAATTTTCATGCACCGGGCCTCTAGTATTATCATATTAACCAATGCCACCTCAATCTATATATGTAAAAGCCTAAGCAACCATTGCAACCGGTTGACTGAATGACCAGTCGCTATGATGCACACTGACCACCAGGGGGCAGATGCTCAAAGAAAGCAGGAGCTTCCTCCTGGTGGTCAGTGCACTCCCACAGCGGGAGCAGTGTGGTGCCTGGCCCGGGCTTGGGCTCCTCCCGGGCTGCCTGCTGCTTCGTGCACTGCTACATCCCCCAAGGGGTCCCAGATTGTGAGAGGGCGCAGGCCAGGCTGAGGGACCCCACAGGTGCACGAATTTGTGCACCTGGCCTCTAGCAAATTTAATAAAAACATTTCTAGGAATAAATGTAATATCTATAATAATAAAAGCATAATATGCTAATTAGACCAAACTGCTGAATGACCTTCCAGACGTCATTCTGGACATCCTTCTGGATGAAGCCGCGGTGGCAGGGGCCAAGGCAGAGGCTGTTAGGGGTGATCAGGCAGGCAGTTGAGCAGTTAGGGGTGATCAGGCAGGCAGGCAGAGTGGTTAGGGGCAATGAGGCAGGCAGGCAGGTAAGCAGTTAGGAGCCAGTGGTCCGGATTTTAAGAGGGATGTCCGACTGCCAGTTTAGGCCCGATCCACCAGCAGTTGGACACCCTCTCAGGATCCGGATTGCAAGAGGGTGCACGCCAGGCTGAGGGACCTCTCCACTCCCCGTGCACGAATTTCGTGCACCGAGCCTCTAGTCCAGTGATGGCGAACCTATGACACGTGTGTCAGAGGTGACACGCGAACTCATTTTTTTGGTTGATTTTTCTTTGTTAAATGGCATTTAAATATTTAATATAAATATCAAAAATATAAATCTTTTTTATACTATGGTTGCAAATATCAAAAAATTTCTATATGTGACACGGCATCAGAGTTTAGTTAGGGTTTTTCAAAATGCTGACATGCTGAGCTCAAAAGGTTCACCATCACTGCTCTAGTCTATAATAATAAAAGGGCAATATGCTAATTAGACTGGACATCATTCCGGAGTCCTTCCTGATAAAGCCGGGCCAGAGGAAAACCAGCCCAGGTCCAAGGTGCCTGCAGGCAGTCCTAGGAAAGGCAGCCTGGGTCCCGGATGCCTATGGGCAGCCTGAGGAAATCCAGCCTGGGTCCTGGGTGCCTGCGGGCCGCCGGAGGAGGGAAGCAGCCTGGGTCCTGGGTGCTGGAGGGAAGCTGGTGCTGGCAGCTGGGGGAAGAAAGGCCTACTCTTGCATGAATTTTCATGCATCGGGCCTCTAGTTCTATTATAAAATTTTCTTTCAGGCTAGTCCCCTCCTAGAAACCCCTACTAAGTTATTGAGGGGATATTTCCTGACTACAAAAAAAATAACAATTTATGTTTACACTTGAAATCACATGATTCTTGCTTTTACTGGCTGATTTATTTCACTTAGAATAATATTCTCAAGGTCCATCCATGTTCAAGTGAAAACATATTAATAAAGTATTAATATGACTACTTAAAGTAGCCCAAAGCTTGTGATAGCAAGCAGATCTGTGCCTACTCATTTATTTTGAACATGTATTATTATGATTTAATGATGCATTGGGGTCCTTAAGTGTGACCAACTTACCACCCACTTTGTGATATTCGTATATTTTAAATATATCATTCTTCTAACAATAAACCAAATTCTAAAAAAGTAGTATTTATATAATGAAACATTTTTACAGTGTTATACATTTAAGTGTCCAAAAAATAATTGTATAAATGTGCTTATTTGAAAATAACAAAGGGCCAGAGTACACCCCCCTGAATACATTCTACATCTAATTTGACAAACATTTGGCAAATATTACTGGTACAAAGAAATGGGTCAGCCACTGTACTCCAGGTGCCCGCCATCACCGTAAGAGGCCCACAGGCATGAACCAACCACTATGTGAGACAGAATGAAACAAGTGCTAAGAGGAAAGAGGAAATAAGTTGTTCTCACTGACAAACAAAAATATAGGTAAACCTCTTTTATCCCAGATACTTTATTGTTTGGGCACTCAGATGTTTGCACTCATGTGCCTTGTAACAGTAGGGGTCAGGCAGAGAGGGAGGTGTGGGCGTTAGTTTTCCATTTGTACATACAATCCCCACTCCTCCAAAAATTGCGTCAGATAGGTTTCATCTTCTTCAAGTGGCTTGTTGGGAGCCTGCTCCTCATAAATTCTAGACAAAAGGCCTTCATCTGTGAGCTCCTTGTACTCAGGATGTTCACATCCTTCTGACTCATGTTCAAAGCCAAATAAGGAAGGTATACACAGCCTGCCAGTCCGAGGGTCCCAATCGACCAGTGTGGTCGATGGCTCTTCTTCTGGCTCCTCTTCTGTGTCCACATGCTCCTCTGGCAGGTGGTGCAAGTCTCTGAGTTGAGGGGTATATGAATACAGTAGTGTTTGTGGGCCCCAGTCAGCCAAAGCTGCCTGTGGCTCAAATAATTTTCCTTGTAGGAACATCTCCTCCTGCAAACTGAGCTCTTGGTCTCCAGGCCCCACAGAAAGGTCAGTAGTTCTCACATTATATTCATACTCAATGGCTATTTTATCTGTGGGTATTGTTCTGCCGAGTGACTCTTGTTGAGTCAGGGAAGTCCCATTGGAGCTTTCCTCAGTGTCATCGACAATGTCCATCGAATGGGAAGCATACCCTAAGTGCATCACCTCCATTTCCTCCTGATGGGGCTCTTGGTCCTTGCTGGGCTCAACCAGATCCCATACATCATTGCTTTTTTCCATGACACTTACATCCTTATGAGAAAATTTAGAATCCTCCAAAATATTGAGTGTGATAAAGTTAATCACAATTTGTTCAGCAGGTACAAAGAATCCTTTGTCAAGTTCATTTCTATAAATCAAAATCTATAAAGAGAGAAGAGAATGGTTTTCACCTTTTCACTTTTGACAGATATTAAAAACAGCTGTTAAGTAGAACTTATACTGTCATCAGATGGTTTTAAAAATCTATTCTTACCAATTCATGGAAGTGAAAGTTATGCTTGGAATATAGAGAAAACCTCATTCATACAAAATGCATATGGAAGAGACCAAGACATACAAAATGCATATGAAGTGAAAAGTGGTTCATTGGGTGGGTATCTGTCCAGGTCAAATATAAGGGTGTGACTGCCCCCTCCTCTAATTGGCTGAGGAAATTTAGGATGTTATTTAATTTCTCGAGCCTTGATTTTTAATTCTGAAAAATCAGAATTTGTGCCACATAAAAGGTGGTGAGAACTAAGTGAGATGGAGGTTTTGAAATTGCTTTGTTAATTATAGTTTATTATGTATTTGTTAATAAGCTGTGGTTACCTGGGCTCCTAGCCCTTTTTTGGATACAGCCCGGACATGAAATGTGGGTGGGCATGAAAACTGGTTGTAAAAAGCAGATAAGAACATGAGCAGGGATGGTTCTACTTACTTCCCCCAAACACCAAAGGAATCATGCTATAATAAAGTCAAAAAGGGAAATCCATTTGCCAGTTTATGGCAGACAGAAAAACTCTACCTAATGCCAGGAAAACTTGTTTCAGGTTAAAATGTTGCTGGGGATATGTGGGAGGTGCCTGTTTAGATTGCCAGTGATGAGCTATGTTACAATCCTCATTGTCTAATCTATGATGTGATTTCATTTAACATTATAAAATAAATCCTTTAATTTTATTCTTTTACAATTTTTTTTTTTTTGTAAAAAGTAACGTGTGGTCAATTTTGTGAATTTCCCTTCCAGGAAAGGTCTCCCTATGCCTTTAAAAAGCTAATCCTGAACCTTAAGTGCAGGCAGATTCATAGAACTATTTTTAAACTGAACTAACAGGGATACATGTATGTATTGTGTACATGTGAACATATTTTTAATAATTCCCAAAGAAATAATTTTTATTGTTAAAATATGCTCAGCATTTCAAAACCCTTCAGTGCATGGTCCAGAGGATAAGGTTAATTCCTTTTACTCTTTGCTTCTCCTTACTATGAGTGATGAGATCCTGGCCATTTCCCCCCTAAATGTGCTTCCATCCCATGTCCTGGTCTCCAGCCCAGCCCTCCATCCCACTCTCTTCTCTTAGACTCTCATCTTCTCTCCTTGGGAAAACTGGCAGTCTCCTAGTTACTTTACTTGTTTCTTCTAGTCTCAATCCCCCTAATGTTGTCTTAGACCCACTATCCAGTTGGATCTAAAACACAATATCGACCGTGACATCACCAAGGTAAAACCCTACAGAGATTTCTTTGCCAACAGAATAAAGCCCAACCTACTTGGACTAACAGCCCAATTCTCTCATTACCTGGCCTTACCACCCACTCTCTAGTAACAGCTTTCACAGCTCCTCATCAGGAACCTTATGATTTAACAATACCATGTGGTTTCCCAAACAGCTATCCACCTTTCCCCTGTTGTGTCTTCTGCCAGTAGTAGGTCCATAACTCTTACTCACCTTTTATAACCAAGCCCAGGCATGAACTTCTCCTGGTCCCCAGGCAGGGTTTCAGTGCCTCCCCTGTACCCCTAGCATCCCTAGTGCCTGCTTTCATCATAGTCATATCATTTTGAAATTCTTGTCCCCAACTAGACTTGAACCTCTGGAAGGGCATGGATCATGACCTCATTTATCTCGTACCTCAAGACCTAGTCTAATCTGGTCATTAAACCTAAAATCTTTGTTAATGCTAAAGAATCTTTCTCTTTGGTTATGTTAGTGAGTTAATCTAGTAGAGAAAGTGGTGGTTTTTTTTTTTATTTATTAGCTCTTTACCTTTAAACTCACTCTGCCCCTAAAAGGAATGGTATTAGTTACAGAGCCTCCTTTCCAGCTTCCTGGAGATGTGTTGCTAAAATGAGTCCGGCCACACTAAGCACTCACCAGATTTGCCGGGTGTTTCTCTTTGCCAACATGGATATATCTGTACGCAGAGAAGCCCATCACAGAAAAGATAAACAGGGTAACAGATATGGGCAAAACATACCAGAAGATGATTTTAATTTTCAATGCTGATGTTTGATCTGTTAAAAAAAAAAGAGGGGGGGGGGCGGGGGAGAGTAGATTGTTGTAACTTGGTGTGGTGGGAAAACATGGGCAATGTCAAGAAGCTTTGGGCATAATCACTTACACGTACGAATTCAGTTTTCTCATTTATAACAATGTAATAAGGGGTCTCAGAATTCCTACTGTCTCTGACAATAGATAGTCTTAAGGGCTGTCTCAAATCGTTACAGCAAGGATGCGTTAGCAACCCAGGTCAGCATATATTCCAACGTTTTATGTCTGGCTATGAGATTCATGTTGGTTTTTATACTTGAAGGTAAATGTATCTGAAATTCAGGCAACTCACAGCACTCCAAACCGAACAACAAAACCCCCTTGGAATGATCCCACTAAGCAGTCCCACTTTTCTATGCCACTCACTTGACTCAGTCTTTTTCATAGATTCAGTAGAGGACAGGGATATATGGCATCACCTTCTACGTGACCAACAGAACTACCCTCGTGCTGGTTGCTTGGGCTTTTCTGGGTACGTCTGGAGCTTGGGGATGTTTGTAGGAAGGTGGCTGAGCTGGTGTGTACTGAGAACGGCAGTAACTCCTTCCCAGGTTTTGATGTGTTATGGGTTCATGATGAGTAAAAGTCCATAGGGAATGAAAAGACCTGGTGAATAGTTTTAAGAAAAGTAGTCCTGGCCCACCATTGATCAGAACGGGGATTATTGTGACTAACTTATATTTGTTAAGCTCCTGTGGGGTAATTGGAAGTTGGGATGGTTAATTTTATGAGTCAATTTGGCAAAACCAAATTGGAACCTAGGTATTGGTAAAACATTATTCTAGATATTTCTGTGAAGGTATTTTTAAAATGAGATTAGCATTTAAATTAGTTAAACTTGAGTAAAGCCCAGTAAAACAGGGCTCCAACTGCAGGTTCTTCTATCCTGACCAATTCCTGAAGAGCACATCTGTCATCAGCTTCCACATAGAAAGATGCCAACACCACAATGCAGATGGTTTAGGTGACTGAGCATCATCTGCTCCTACTTTAGGCTACAACTCAGTCCAGTCCTCTGGATACAGTCCCTGATCTAGGACGGAACTTGCACTAATTAAGAGGAGCCAGGCCAACAGTGACTGGTGGCACTTCGTGTACATCAGCACATGTTGGTTACAATAAACAAAGAAACCCTATCTGTATTTGTAGGGATGGGGGGACTATGGGGAACAGAAATAATTTCCAAAGAATAGTCCCAAAAGAGATAATACTGATTTTTAAAAATACATCTTTTTATTGATTTCAGAGAGGAAGGGAGAAGGAGAGAGAGATAGAAACATCAATGATGAGAGAGAATCATTGATCAGCTGCCTCCTGCTCACCCCCTACTGGGAATCAAGTTTGCAACCTGGGCATGTGCCCTTGACTGGAATTGAACCAGGGACCCTTCAGTCCTTAGGCGGATGCTCTACTTAGTGAGCCAAAACAGCTAGGGCCCGATTCTTTTAAAAGGAGGTTGTCATAGCATTGTCTTGGAACGGTAGCGGGGGTGATTTAACAGCTGGGAGATCCTGGAAAACCTCAGGACCTGAAATGGTGCCTCCTTGCTCTTTTGTTACCTTTCATAAACTGGTTAGAAAGTTGCTCCATCTGCTTACTGGGAAGTATTTAATTTAATCTCTACTCTAGTTGCTTAACTCTGCCAACTGCTTAAATGACTTCCACTGGAAATGCATTCCTAGCATCTGGCCACTGATCAAGCTATTAGTAAACAGAGCACTTTATCCAAATACCAAAATAATTTCTTCAATCTGCTTTGTGTTGCCTTTTGCTTGCTTAGCATTTTAGTTTAATTTGACACGTGGTAGAGAACCTTTTATTTTAAAGGGAAAGCTATGGCAAGGATAGAGATTTAAAAAGAAAGCTTTTCACTTTTTATTTGTACTAAGAAAATTCCCTTTGTATTCCTTGGGACATTTTTATCATGACATGTGGGAGGCGTGAAGGAGGAGGAGAGCAGGGGTCTATCATCATCCCTGTCCCATAGCTGGGGATGGAACCAAGGCTTGGGGGAAATGCTATGACATTTGTCTTAGGCCAGCACGTTTGGAAGAGAGAAACAGAAGAATAATGGATGAAGAGCCAGTCAGTGAAGGTCAACTTTAGGATTTATTTTCAATTTTCAGGTTTTGAATACAAGGTCCTCTCACCCTGGAGGAAGAATGATTATACAAATGCTAAGCTCCTAACTCCATGTCTCCCAACAGAAAGGAGACTCTTCACTCACAGTTCCTTGGCAGCCACATTCAGACATGAGAAGGAGACAAAAAAAAAGAAAGAAAGAAAGAAAGAAAGAAAGAAAGAAAGAAAGAAAGAAAGAAAGAAAGAAAGAAAGAAAGAAAGAAAGGAGAGAGAAGCAACTCTAAGAGAGAGGCCATAAGTACTGGTTTGTAGATCCCAGACCAGCCAGTCAGCGATATGTAAACATGGAGCCTGTAATTTGTATTTCTGAGGGGGAGCAAAGGATTCTGTCTTAAAAAGTGTTTTGTTTATTTTTTAAAATATATTTTATTGATTTTTTACAGAGAGGAAGGGAGAAAGACAGAGAGTTAGAAACATCGATGAGAGAGAAACATCGATCAGCTGCCTCCAGCACATCTCCTACTGGGGATGTGCCCGCAACCCAGGTACATGCCCTTGACCGGAATCGAACCTGGGACCTTTCAGTCCACAGGCCGACGCTCTATCCACTGAGCCAAACCGGTTTCGGCTTAAAAAGTGTTTTTATGATAATGCTTTGTTTCTAGCAATACAATTAATTGTCTGATGTGCTTGAAGACCACAGAACTTCTACTGACCGGAATGATTATCATTTTGAAAAAGAAAAAACATGTGTGTAAAAGTTTCCCATTGTTATTTCCGAAGGCAGTGGCTTGCTGGCAGCAAGTGCCAGGCCTGGTGCTGAGGTCCCCCGAGGGGTGAAAACACTCCCTAACATTGGCCAAGTTCAATGGCAGTGTCCCGGGTTGCTCAATGCATTTCTGGGGACAGCTGTTTCTGCCTTTGCCTCAACCTGTTTCTGGTAGAAACAGATTTGCCAATACCTTGTCTACACTGCCACACTTCCTTCTAGTTTCATCAGACTTCTTTCCTCAGAGCAGCTGAGGTGTTTTAAAGCTTACCTTTCAAAGTACTGACACACTGCTTCTCAGAAGGCTGAGCAAGGCGAGGAGGCCCCGGGACGAAGGACCCCACGTGGATGCAGTACAGAGTGTCCGGCTCTAGCCAGCTGAGCACCAGCGTGTGGTTGGTCACACACTGAGACCACTAGGTTAGGGAATGGCAAACATCAGTTACAGCAAAGGTTTCTAGTACCACCCCAGACAAACAACTCTACAAGGAAATAAAAGACCCAGATACCATGAAATCCTTTACTATGCCTACAAGCTTTCTTTTCAGCAACAGCTTCAAAATACCCCTTTCCTCTAGCTCGGCAATACCCAGGAACTGAAACAATCCCAGTACAATGCTAAATAATAACGTAAGGATGGATTTCTCATTCAGCTTTGTCCTGTGTTCTTGCTAATACCTTTTTCTTTCTTCGAGAGTGACTGACAGATGTTATGCAAGTAAAAGCGTCTCCGTCAATAACTACTCCAATAGCAATATCATGTCCATTAATAGAAAGTTTCTGTACAGGAATTCTGAAGTCTCCTAAGTTTCTACATAGCTTCAATTGTACCTTGGATGGCATCTCTTTTGAATATCACATCTTCCCATTTTCACATGCAGAGAATTAAAGCAGTAGGGCTGCTTGCTTTAGCATTAACTGCAAAAAGGGACCCAGATTATGTGCCCTGTTCCATTTCAGACTTACCGTTCTGTTTGACTTAGTATTATAGATGGACACATTATACTTCAGATTCGAGTATATTTGTTGCATGGAAATGGAACTTTCTTCTGAATTTTTCTTCCACTTCTCTGGAGCCGTCAGAACCACAGAAATGGATTTCTCACCAGGAGTCAAAGTAATGCCTGGTGGGCCAATTTGTGCTTAAAGAGGAGAGGAGAGGGAATTATGTTCAGATGTAGAAATCACCTTGGATAAAACTACAGTCTAATCCTACTGGGACAAAAACTCTCCATCCAACTCTCTTATTTGAGATGCCTCAGAATGCTCCAAGGTGGGCCCAAGGCATGCAGAAACTTGAAACAAGAATTTCCTGTACGCTGACACGATGTTAAAACAGTCAGTTGAGGAGTTCCCAGTCACATGGATAAATAGTACTCGATGATGGTAAATACAATGAAAACTATTTATAACACTGCCGTGACTTGAAAAATCGGTGATAAATAACATCAATATGATTGGACACATGGCAAAAAGCAGACACGGAGGAATGAAGCACTGCTAAAAACCTTTGGAGATGTGATTGGAATAATCTAGAACAGAGGTTAGCAAAGTTTAACCATAAAGGTCCAGATAGGATCTCTGTTGCAACTATTATTTATATCAATGTAAAACCCATTCTTAGCGCTCGGCCTGTAGAAAAACAGAAAGGGGGGTGGTGCTGCTGCATTTGGTTGAGGGCATAGTTTGCTGACTTCTGAGCTCGAAGGGAATCTGAAGAAAGGCTCCAGTTTCAGGACCTAAGGAGAACTTGTAAATTTCATATGGCACCTCTGAGTGAGTCCTGTACCCGAGTCAGCTACAGATCAGGGCACAGAACAATGAAAAAGCAAACACCAGCAAGATGTTGTCTTGATTCTGAGTTACAGCTAGAAATTGCATCATCACACCACCAAGTCACACCACAAAGAAAAGACTTACTTTATTGATCAGAATAACCTGTAATCAACCTTGTGGACATATTCGACGGTTTTGAAACCCACAACATTAAAAACAGATCTGTCAGTTGTTCCACAAATTACATAGTCTCCACTAAATGTTAAAATCAAATCAAAATTTGATAGTATTGACATTTAGCATCAATTTGGGATCTGGGAGAGATCTTGGAGGTCACTTCGCCACAGCTTGCATTCTAAAGACAAGACTCTGGGATGCAGTGGGGAGAAGCACCTTGGGTCACTCCACCAGCTGACGGACAGAGTGCAGAACAGAGCCAAGCTAAGCACCGGCTCCTCGGGCAGAGCTGTCTATGAGACTGAACCTGGTAACACCAGGAGGTCAGGTGAGCGTGATATTCATCCGTGTTTAACAGACAACTGTATTACTTACTTTCTAATAAAGGATAGAACCGTCCAGTTTCTGCCCATTTGGAACAATCAGATCCCCAAATGGCCTTAACTTTGGCATAATATTGATGTTCATAGTCAGAAGTTTCAGCAGAGAGGTCACAGTGGGTCCTATTGATATTTCTGCATTCGGATTTATTCAGCCATTTCTTTTGCCCGTATCTGCAGAGAAGGAAACTGTGAATTAATAATGAAGTGCCCTCTGTGCTTTACAATAGGAATAAACAGTCATTATATAAACCTGAATGGAACTTAAGACCTTCTCTTCAGAACAACAGAAGTGCCTGTCATTGAGATAAAAAGGAATCTGCTTTTGCTGCTGGCAATTTTTTTCATTAGCTGTCAGGAACATGAGTCAGAGTTTCTGTAACCACCTTTCTTTTCTGTGAATTATAATTCACAGTATATTTTGAAAGCATAGATTTTATTATTATTCTTGGGCTACAGTAAAAATTTTACATATTGTGTGATCAACTCTTCTAATAATTATATCTATGTAAGTTTTGTAGTCTACCATGCATACTTAGGTCAGTTTGATGGGTTGTTTTAAGAAAAATTAGCCATCTTTTTTCTTGGAAGAAAAATTACCTTGACATTCTCATAAAATTAAAAACTCTACTTGCCATCAAGGGTTTGGGGAAAAGTCACTAGACTGAAGTGCATGCCTAAATCTGCATTTTCAATCATAGCGATGATGATATTAACTAGGATGTTCACTCTGATTTTTCCTTTCCTTTGTTAAAAGCATAACACCCATAGTAAATAGGGAGGGGGGAATATTTTTAGGTGGGAGAGACTAAGGTATATTTAGTGATAAGAGCTGAGCCGGGAAAAGAGACAGGTTTGCAGGAGAGGCTACTGAAAAGATTAAAGCAGCACGTTAGGGTTTTAGAAAGATAACTCTGGTGGTAGCATGGAGAATGCAAAGGGTTAGGAGAGGCAGCCTGGAGAGGAGCTGGGAGGATACTCCAGGTGGAAGATGCAGGTGGCTTAGACAAGGATGGTGGCCATGGAACCAACAGGACAAAGGAAGAAATATCAGGACACAGGACTTGGCGATTGAGGGCATGTAAGAGAGGAATTAAGGATGATGCCTCTTTCTGTCTGGGACAAAAGGTTGTAACAGTGGTAACCCATTTTACAGATGAGAAAACTGAAGCTCAGAGAGATAAGGAAATCAAATGCTCAAGTTCATATCACCAGTAAAAGGCATATCTGGGATTTGAACCGCTTTCCTGAGATGCAAAGCTTGAGCGTTTAGTGCTTCCCTATATATTTTTGTATTAAATTCTTTTGGCAGATATATTTTAAACTTTTGTTCAAATTTCATCTTTTACTTGGAAACAAACTTCACTCAAAAGTATAATATGTAGCCCTAACCAGTTTGGCTCAGTGGATAGAGTGTCGGCCTGCGGACTCAAGGGCATGTACCTGGGTTGCGGGCACATACCCAGTAGGGAGTGTGCAGGAGGCAGTTAATCGATGTTTCTCTCTCATCGATGTTTCTAACTCTCTATCCCTCTCCCTTCCTCTCTGTAAAAAATCAATAAAATATATTTTTAAAAAAGTATAATATGTAATCTGCCCAAAGTTACCCAGCAAGGCTCATAGCCTGGCTATGAACCCAGGACTGTCTGACTCCAGCTGAGCTTGGAGCTCTATCAGTGGCATATACCACCCTGTATTCCTGTCCACCTTTTATATATATATATATATATATATATATATATATATATATATATATATATATATATTCTTTTTCAAAAGTTGCACAATCCAATTTATCTGCTGTCAGAGAGCAGTGATGAATCTGCCCGTTTTAAAAAGTCCTTTTCTGAATCACGGAGACATACAAAGGACAGAGCAAGCTCTTTGCTCCACCTAATGGAAAAGGAGGCAAGGGCGTGCTCCAGAAACATTTCCCTTTGCACAGTGATGTCTTCTTTCCTAAACTCAGCTCCTGGGAAACGCCTCGGAAATGAGAATGAAGGTCTAGTTCAATTTGCTCAGGAATAGCAGTTGAAGTCCTCCATTGCCTTTGGAGGTCGGAATTTTTTTTTCAAAGACAAAAAATGGCTTTATTCTTTTTTGTAACTATGGTACATTAAAAAAAAAAACAAACTCAACTAATCAGAAAAACAGAATCAAGAGAGAAATAAATCAGCTGGAAACCCATTACCCTGAAATATTTGGTAAACATGATTCTGGACATCTCATCATGCTTACATATAACCAGAAGGATAGTTAGATAGCTGTATAGATAAAAAACTAGATTATACCACATGCGTAGTTTTAATAAAAGTAGTAAATTTAACTTGACTTAAACTTTAATATAAAATAAGAAATTAAAGGAATTGCTATAGTTCAAATGTCTCATTACCACAAGATATATTAGTTCTTAAAATATCATTTAAATTAAGAAAATGGTTTCTTGAAAAATACTGAGAGCTTAGTCATTAAAATGAAGTCACTTCATTTTAGATCATATTTAATGGTTTTCTGCTATGAATATCAGTTCACTTACAGTTTCTGCCCACCTTCTGATTTGTTCTATTATTGTTTAGGTTCAAATATATATGAGAAATTTCAAGAACCGTATTTCCCATCACTATGTGGTCTTAGTTCTAAATTTACATTGTTGCAATGCATGCTACTAGTCTTTATGCCATTATCCTGTCATTACTAATTTCTTTGTCTAGGTTCATCTTTTTTTTTTTTATGTCAGATGGTTATTATCTTTAGTTAGCGGTTCCCCACCCCCCAAGAAGGTCTCAGGGGAATGATATCCTGAATTCCCACCTACTTGAAAAGACATCTGTTGAACTTGGTAAGAGTCTTAGGCCTCACCTATTTTCCCCTCAGAAGATACGGCACTGTTTTCTGCTGAGTGCTGAGTGCTGCCAGAGAGAAATCACTTCATCCCCCCACCCGACTTGAGTCCTGCTTTTGCTAGGATGGCCAGAAATCATTTCATTTTCTTAAAGTTCAATAAGTTCACCAGGATACGTCTTGCTATTATTTTTATTATATTTTGCTGGATATAGCATGCATTTATGATATGCAATGCCAGATTATTATCATTATTACCTGGTCAACTATTCCTAACAGCTATAATAGTTTTTTTGTTCTTTTTTAATTCTTACTAATTTCAGCGAGGTAGGCAGAGGGAGAGGGAGATAGAAACATCAATGATGAGAGAGAACCATTGATCCACTGCCTCCTGTATGCCCCACACTGGGGAATGAGCCTGCAACCCAGGAATATACCCTGACCGGGAATGGAATCTTGATCTCCTGGTTCATAGGTTGACGCTTAAACACTGAGCCACGCCAGCCAGGCTATAATAGGTTTTTAAAGTATATTTAATATTTTTATTTTACATCTTTTCCCTAAGCTCTGCCCACTTGCTTTTAAAAAAAAGCTCTTCCTGTGGTCTTAGAATCTCTTCTTTTGGAAGAGATTGCAACTTCTTCTTTAAGCTTTGTCATTAGAAACATGTTGCTTATGGGCTCAAATTATGGGCAATTATTTGTATGAATTTTTCTCCCACTTCCATGAGAAAACTTTTCAGAAATTTTTTACTTGTGTTCTTTTTTCCTCTTTCTCTCTTCCAATGATTATGGATAGGTACTGTGCTGGTTTCTCTGGGACTACTGCTCTTTGAATGGGGCCAACTATTTTTATTTATTTTTAAAATATATTTTTATTGATTTTAGAGAGGAAGGGAGAGAGAGAGAGAGCAATAGAAACATCAATGATGTGCCCTAACCTGTTTGGCTCAGTGGATAGAGCGTTGACCAAAGTTCCCTTTTGTCGACTAAAAGGTCCCAGGTTTGATTCCGGTCAAGGGCATGTACCTTGGTTGCGGGCACATCCCCAGTAGGAGGTGTGCAGGAGGCAGCTGATCAATGTTTCTCTCTCATTGATTCTAACTCTCTATCCCTCTCCCTCCTTCTCTGACATCCTGTGGCACCAACCTGGGGCTCCATGGGGACATTTCCTCAATTTCTGGGGGTGGAAATCCTTAGATTCCACATCCTTAGACTTAAGCCTCTGAGTACTGTGACATTTATTCTTGTGAAATTATTTTTTTGCTGTTGGAGTTTGAGGAGGTATAGGTTTACTTCCAGCTTCTAGGCGGTTTTCTTTCAGATTTCACAGTATTTGGCTTATACACCTCATAGTCTGTGGCTTGGGGGCTGTGACCATTTCCTTGGTTGTTTTGAAGTTGGACAATGTCTGTCTGATTTGCATTCTTTCTTGCTTTCAATGAGTTTTGAGGGAGAGGTGAAAAGTAAAAATGTCCACTCACTACTATCTTCAACAGGAACAGGTAGTTGTACATAATTCTATGCTCGGTTTCACTTAAAATGTGCATAATTCCAGTAAGTTTAGACATTTCAGAGATTATGAATTTCTTTATTTGCTCAGCCACAGAATAGTCTTTTGACCAACTTCTTTTCTCCATTTAAATAACTCCCCCTTGCCCCAGCATCCAGTGCTCCTGTCTCCATGAAGAAACTGTTTTCTAATTTAACCTAACAAAGCAGAGCAAGAAAAATTTAACATGAAACATCTAATTTTTTTCTTTTCAAATACTTATTTAATACAAAAGATGGCATATCTTCACACAGTTAATAGGAGTCTGAGTCTTGTGTTTATAAATCAGTCAAAAGGAAAAGAACCAACTTACATGAAATACTGCACAGTGTAAGTCACTTCTACTCCTTGTAGGCCCTCGGGTGGACCCCACTGGAGGACATTCTTCATGTTTATGGATAAGAAGGTGACATTTACAGGCTTAGGCAAACCACCAGGGACACAGGGAACTGAAACAGGAGTAGAGAGAAATCAAGGTCTTAGTGAAGAAAGAGGAAAACATAACCCCTCTGGTAGTGGTGTTCAGTATGGCCTTCCGGTACTGGCACCCTGTGTATTTCCTCCCAAACTGAACCTGAGCGGACACGGACTCACTTCAACCCACAGATTGTGGCAGAAGTGACTCTGGGGCTAAGACTTAAGGCCTGGCAGCTTCCACTATTTTTAAAAAAAATAAAATATATTTTTATTGATTTCAAAGAGGAAAGGAGAGAGAGACAGAAACATCAATGATGAGAAAGAATCATTGATTGGCTGCCTCTTGCACACACCCTACTGGGAATCGAGCCTGCAACCTAGGCATGTGCCCTGACTCAGAATCGAACCCAGGACCTTCAGTCTGCAGGCCGACGCTCTATTCACTGAGCCAAACCAGTTAGGGCAGAGCTTCCACTTTTGCCTTTGGGAAGCCCTGAGCTGCCACATAGAAGTGGGGCCACCCTGCTGGGAACTCCATGTGGAGAGGCCATGTGACGAGGGAGAGGTTCAGTTGTCCCGGCTGAGCCCAGCTTTCCAATCACGGGGCCAGGAGAATCACTGTGGGTGTTCCAGCTCCACCGAAGCTGCAGGAGAGACTTGGAAGAAGACCAGCAAAAGAACCATCCAGCTGTTGCCCCTGTTAACACTCAGAACTGTGAGAAATTATTGTTTCAAACCACTATTTGGGGGTGGTTGGTTATGCACCAGCAGATAACTAGATATAGAAAGAAAATTTAGAATTGATGCCACTGAAAGACCAGAGTTTTAGAACTGATTAGCTTTACTAACAAGTATGTATAAAGCAAGGATTAGAAAAGAAACCAGGAAAAGAAGACAATTTATTTAATCAAACACTGATAAGCTCACATAACTGTGATCTAAGAAAAACTGTATCTGGAGGATGAATTTGTAGAAATCCTCTGTACAGAAAGGATAAAGAATTGAGAAACTCCAAAACAATTAGAAAAGGGCAAAAGGAAAGTGAAGGATAATCTCTTATAAAAGAAAACAAGGAAGATCCGTGAGTTAAAATAAGTGAAGAAATTCAGTGGTAACATGTAATAATAAAAATATTAATTTAAACTATTGGAGAGATCATAAAGTATACTGAGTAATAATCAAATTTTATGAAAAACTTATCCCATCACAAATATGCATATTCTAGTCAATGAACTTCGAAAGAATCAAATTTCAATACTGAAAATCAAAATTGGGAAATAAAATTTAGCTAAGTTACTGCGGCCTAGTCCAGTCTTGGCTCAAGTCCCATAATTCCTATATACATAAATTGGAATTCATGTCAGAGAAAGGAACTAGCTTTATGCTTGTGTTAATCCTTGGCTAAGACTAACTCTATACAATGCATTTTAATTTCACAAGCCAAATGAAAAGGAAGAAAAAAATTTTACTTTAAACTTTTTATATGACCCTGATGCTAAACCTAAATAATCTCTTTAATGTGGCAGAGTAACCAAAATATAGACAGTTGAGTGTGTTTGTGTGTGCATGTGTTATATTTGTAAGGACTTCTACTTTTAACTTTGATCATTTTTTAATAACTTAGTTTCATTTTTTTAAGAAGAAAATTAAATACCCAAAGAGAAGCACTATCAACGGATCACTGTGTGGGTATGTGTAGGAGGAGTAAAGAAGATCTCAAAATGACACAACCTGCCCAATGCCCTTCTTTGATTTTTATTCTTCTAAGTCTTCGGAACGAATGCTATATCAACTGGTATTGGCTTTTTCTTGAGGTTATATTCGGTGAGTAATGGTCAATGACTTAATACTGCTCTGTGCTATCACAAGGTTTGAAATTTTAATCATATGTTTGAGGATGAGACAGAGGATATGGGATGGCAGCAGCATGGAGTACAGTATTTCCCAACCTTTCAAAAGTGAGAAACACTTTTAATATAAAAATCCTAAGGATCTTTCCAGATATAAAATGCTACATGTGCCCTAGCCGGTTTGGCTCAGAGCATAGAGTTTCAGCCTGTGGACCAGAGGGTTCTGGGTTCGATTCTGGTCAAGGGCATGTATCTCGGTTGCAGGCTCCTCCCTGGCCTGAATCCTGGTCAGGGCACGTGCAGGAGGCAACCAATCGATGTGTTTCTCGCACATTGATATTTCTGTCTTTTCCATTCTGTTCCACTCTCTCTAAAAATCAATAAAAAATATCCTCAGATGAAGATTTAAAAAATAATATATAAATATATTAAAATAAAATGCTACGCGTGGTCCTACATGTTTAGTTGATACTAACATGTGAGGAGTGGTTAGCATAGTGTAAGAATTAAAATGAAAGTAGGCTATGCATTATAATATCACAGATATAAGGTATTACCAACGCATGGTTCCACAGAACTATCGGATAAGCAACTAGAGTAGTCTGGTTTGTGGCAACTTGAGTTTGGAAATATAAAACATAAGTTAGGCATATTTTCTCACTGTTTAATCTATACAAATCTTTATCTTCTATAACATTGGTTTCTGTTCATCTTTTAAAATAAGTAAACAATCAGCAGAACTCTCAAGATGCCTAAAACATACCAAAAAGTTTTAAGAAATAACTTACAATTTTAAAAAAGGATTGCTCATTTTTAAAAAAATATATATATATATATTATTGGTTTTTCAGAGAGAGGAGGGGAGAGGGATAGAGAGTTAGAAACATCGATGAGAGAGAAACATCGACCAGCTGCCTCCCACACACTCCCTACTGGGGATGTGCCCACAACCAAGGTACATGTCCTTGACCGGAATTGAACCTGGGAACTTTCAGTCCGCAGGCCGACACCCTATCCACTGAGCCAAACCGGTTAGGGCAAGGATTGCTCATTTTAATTTAATTCAAATTTCGTGGTCACTGTCATGAGGAAACAAAGCAAATTGCTTTTCTGAAATGAACTGTATTGGAATGTGCTGCCAATCATTAATATTCATTGATCCAACAGACATTTTGTTTAATGTTTTGTAATTATTTAAATAATCCTCTAGAAATGCTATGCCAGTTATTAAAATGTTGGCAAACTGTGGTAATAATAGGTTAAATAAAGGGAATTAATAATGTGAACATACTATTAAAACATTAAGCAATATTTTCATCATGCCATTCTATATTTTGGAAAGAAATTGTGAAATGTGTATACATTTCCCCTGCCAAGTCCACATTGTGGGTAAGTCACATGTATCACCACAATTTTGATAGTCCGCCTCCAAGATGGCCCTCAGTTACTCCCTCCAGCTGGCATTCCCAGACTGTCTAATCCCCTCCCACACGGTTTCTGGGTTGGTCTGTATGACCAATAGCATATGACAGAGATGATGGTACATCATTTCCAAGATTAGGTTATAAAAGACACTGAGGCCTCCTTCCAAGAGGCATAATGGTGAGCTTAGAAGTGGGTCCTTCAGATGACTGTAGCCCCAACCTATCACATGACTATCCTATCTAATAAAAGACTAATATGCAAATCGACCGAACAATGGAAGGACTGGTCACTATGATGCGCAATGACCACCAGGGGGTAGACACTAAACACAGGAGCTGCCCCTGGTGGTCAATGTGCTCGCACAAGGGGCACACTCTCAGCCAGAAGCTGGGCTCATGGCTGGCGAGCGCAGCGGTGGTGGCAGGAGCCTCTCCTGCATCCACGGCAGTGCTAAGGATGTCCATCTGTTGGCTTAGGCCCGCGCCCTACAGGGAGCCATCAGTTGGGCATCCCCAAGATGGGCGCTGAGAGACCCCACTCCAGTGCACGAATTTCGTGCACTGGGCCTCTAGTACTCTCATGAGAGACCCTGAGCCAGAACCACCCAACCAAGCCATCACTAGACTCCTCTTCGGAAACTCTCCAAGATAATGCTTATTGTATTCAGCTGCTAAGTTTTGAGGTACCTTGTTACACAGCAATAGATAGCTAATAAAACAAAGATTCTAAAAATAAGAGAAACTAAGATAGTTTAGTCACTAAAATAAAAAAATTAAATTAAAAAAAGGAAATTAAACTGGAAGAAAAAAATACGGCCCTTCTATTCCCAATCATGTTATAAATGACTCCTGCTTTAACAATCTTGAAAAGGTGTCCTTTTAATAGGTCAACTTTTTATTTATAAAGAAATTAAAAAACCTAGTGAGAAGACTGGATACTTATTACACTTTCAGTAGCAAGTAAAGATCACAGCAACAATGTTTTGGATTTTTAAAAAAAGACAAATTCTTAGTTAAGGTCATTGTAAATACACTGATAAGGATTTCAGTAAATTCTTAGTTAAGGTCATTGCAAGTACACTGAGAGTAGTAAAATAGCTTTCATAGAAACATTTCCTAATAGATATTACTGTTTTATACACTATTTCTAGGGAAAGAATATCCCAGCTTTTTAGTCCTGCACATTCTTTATGTGGATCGACATTATCTTTCCGATTGCACAGGCAGAAGAGCTATCAGTTTTGAATCATCCCGTCAATCAATCGAAATATCATCCAGGGGCAGCCCCACCATGAAAAAGGAGGAGAGTGGCCAAGATGGAATGGAAGAAGTACAGATGGGCTAGATCCCCTTCTTTGTGAGCCCTGGGAAGGAAGCTAGATTATACCTGAGATTTATTGCTAAAATAGTTCAAGCCAGTATTCATTAAATGGATGCACACCTGGAGGAACAAGGGGTCTTTTGCCTAAAAGATAGTATAGGAGGATTTAAAGGCACACAACAGCAGGGCAAGTTAGGATATTGCAGGTAATTTGGTGTGGCGAGTATTGAAATTTAGTGGGAGAGTATTGATGAAGCCTTATCATCAGGAGAAGCCATGGCCTATTTTTAGTTCCAATGAATTACTTCACTGCTGAAGGGAGAAAAGACTGGATGGGGGCAAGACTAGAACTGGAGAGACCAGTAGCACCATGACTCCAGCTGCCCCAGGGAGGCGGGCTGAGCTTGCCCCCAGATGCTGGCTGTGGATATGGGGAT